GGGATACTACCACATGTATCAGAGGAAGAGTCTGTCACTGTCAAAGCTTGGTCTATTATGTTTTTGTGTCTCAGCTATTGAAGTTTGTTCTTCTGCTTTCCAAAACCTTAGCAAACCCATCAAATGCTTTTTTCTTCTTAACAAAAACCTGACCCTGTCCTAAATTGCTCTGACCTTTTTGATGGAGTTTTTCATTTGAATTTTGGAGGTTGACAGCTGCTGTAGAATTGTTCTGCAGTCCTGTCGAAGTAGTGTCATCTGTGTCATCCTCCACCTTGCTGGAATCAGTGCTTTTGGAGATTATATTCCCTGTAGTTGTTTGTGGGAATGAACGTGAACTGTATCGTGTGCTTTCACTGAAGAAGCCTTGTGGGACTGAGAAGGAATATGCATCCTCATCACTCTGATGCAGTTGGAAATGATCTTCTCTGTTGAACATTGGTTGTGTTTTCCCAGAAGAGTGAAGATGGAGCAGATATGCTTCTTCAGGCAGGCTGCCGTTCCTGGTATCCTGTAATTCTGTGTATCCATCACAGTTTTTCTCATTAAAACCTCTTTGCGATGTATGTGCACGAGCCTCAGGTGCGTTCACCTGCTTCCCCTGTGGTAGCAAGTCTTCTGTGTCTGTAAGAACCACAAGATGTTTTTCAGTGGTGTGTTCGGGCAGAGAGTGAAGAGGTGAGTCATTGCTGGAAGGCAGTAGCGATGCCGTTTTAACAATTTCATTCAAACCAGTATCAACGGGAGCAAAGAAGAAATCACTGTCCTCAGATGTGTTTCTTAATGCAATGCTGCCTTCACCGTGCTTCTTTCCAGAAGAGTTTCTGTCTGTGTGTTCATCTCTACTTCCCTCTAGTGCATTTTCTTTTTGTCCAGTGTGACTGAAGCTGAGGGAATGCTGTGGTTTGGTGGGGAACTGATATGGCTGCAGCTCAGCCTCTTCAGGAGTGTTCTCTGTGTCTGCATCATACATGGGAGAATGTTTTAATGAAAGTAATGTGTTACCAAACTCTGCGCTTGGGTTGTGGAGAGACTCAGGAACTGAGTTCTGTGCTCCTGACTCCGCATTAATAAAGCGATAAAATGTACCAGGAACGTCTTGACCTGTAGGACTAGTTGTGTCTGGATCTGACATGCTTATGTGGCTGCTGCATTTATCAGCGTAAGGTGATGCTGTTTCAGGCACGGTGGGGTCTGACCCATAATTAATAGTGGGTTCGAAATCCGCATTGTTCTTGTCTTCATTTTCCCCAGCGTGCTGAAGTCCAGCAGCAATGTTTGCAGACTCTGTCAGCGTTGAGCACTTCTCAGTTCCACTGTTCCTATCAGCTTCCTCCAGTGATGACTGACAGACAGACAGGTTGTCTCTAACATCAGCTTGTTCCAGTTCAAAGTCTGCTAAAGAACTACAGTCACTTATTGTGAATGGAGCCCCCTCATCTGAAGAACTATCATCAAACATATCTGCTGAAGCATCTTTTCCGTTTGTGGGTTCTATTTTACAGTTATACTCTGTAAGAGGAGCGTTATCTATTGTTTGGTGGACACTTAAATTCTCAGTATTTGTATTTCTCTTGCAGCTACTGGGTAAAATAAAATCTCCCACATCACTGGTTAGATTTATGTTGCTGTTTAGATGAAGTTGTTCATCACAGCTTTGCCTTCCAGGCATACATTTTGTAGTGCTCATAGCTTCATTATGTGGAACAATACCTTTTCTTTCAGGAGAATCTGGCGTAGCCTTTGAGATGTCAGATTGCAGCAGACCAGAGTTGTTGCTTACCTTGCTGTTCCTAGGATCTTGTGCAACTGTATGTGTTTGTATTGTGGAAAATGGAAAGCCAGTTTCTCCCTTGAAGGACAAATCTGAATCTGAAGAGTCGGTGTGATGTAAGTAAGAGTCAGCATTAGATCTCCTGTGTACGAGAGGGATCCTGCTCTTCTCTGAGGCTTCATTATTTGCATATATTGGATCTTTCTGTAGTGAAATGTCATTACTCTTTAATTTTCTTGGTGTTACTTCCTTGCTGTTCTTGTCATCTATCCTTACAGAAAACAGTCCATTATCATCATCTACATTTTCATCATTGCCGATACTAGTTTTGATGTCTGAAAATACTTTTTTCTTCACATTGGTCTCATCATTGCTTTGTTTCTGGTACTCTTCTTCAGTATTTGGTGCACGTACACTGCTACCAGTGATGTTTTCATACAAAGCAAAGGTTTCTGTAGGAAGAACGTATACGTTTCTTGAAGAATCCTCATCACAAGTGAACAAACTGTGCTGTGTATTGGTTGGTTTGCTTGTGCTTGATGAGCACTCTCTGCTCAAGGTTTCATCTGAAAAAGCTTGGTTAGAATAAGTATGTTCTGAAGCTGAATCCTTGTTCCTGCGCATGAGTCTCCACAGGCTTCCAAGGTAGGGTCTAGCAAAAGCACCCAGGCAAAAAGCACAAACAAACGTAATGAACACTGAGAGGCAGACAGCCAGTGTCAGGTCTTGCTCTGTTCTTCCTTGTCGAAAAGCAGCGTTAGCATCTCGGGCTTTGCGAACCAAAAATGTTGAGCCCCTTTCTTTCACCTGTGTATCATAGATGAGATATTTCTTCTTTGTTGTATTAGAAATACACAAGTATAACCCTTCAGCAGTTTTCTCAGCATTGTATATCACTAAATTATTCATTTTATCCAGTGTCATATGAGGAAGACTATCATCTTTTGAAATTCCGCCGTTAGGTGTCCACCAAGAGGCTCCGTTATTATTACCTGAAATAAAAGAAAACAGAAACTAGATCTCTCTTAAAAGCACAGGATACTTGGTTTTCGAGGTCAAGTTATTTCTGTAAGAATATACTCTGACCTATCTTTGATAATTCCAACTATTTATTATAAAATCCATTTTCTTTTTATCATCCAAAGTCATTTTACATGGTACCAAGTATCTGTTAAACCATCATATGCTCCCCCCCCCCCCATTTAAAACTGTACCTATAAGGTCTTAATAGCAGGCTTTACAAGAAAGTAGCATGGCTGATGGAGGAGGTCACTGAAATTAGCTAAATGTGTTCTGGGTTGTACTAGAAACACCTGCTTGATGTCCCTCATGGAAGATCTGTATTTATAGCCAGCCATTCTCCAGTGTGGCCCCAGTCACTGTGTGTGCAGCAATGAGACAAAGCTTCACTACGTAACTGTCAGTGTTTCAACACTGTGATTTTCCTCTAATTACCGCTTTGACTGCAGCAAAAAGGTTTGAAAACTGAAGGTATTTGTATCTACTGAGCAATTGTTCCAGACTTTAGCTAGTGTAGGCTGTGGCTGGTTGTTGATTTTGGAATATGTTTCAAGGCTGTATGTACCCCTTTGCGTTTGGATCTGCTTGTGTTCCCAGTTGAGTTTTGGAGCAATCCGGTGTGTTGACCAGAGTTTCCGTGACTTTCCTTGTTAATAGACAAAGCAGGTGGCATTTCTGATAGACCCTATGTATTTTCATTTGGGGGTGAAGAGTTCCAAGGGGAAAGCCTTACCACCTCAGAGTGCTATTATACATTAGAGTTAAATGATTCTGCCTTATGGCACAGGGCAAATACACCTTCTGCTCCAAGTTTGGTCTTAGTTTTCCTTCTGCATGGGAACTCCTAGCTGTGTATTAATTGGAAGTGCTGACTGTGGGCTACAGTAACTGTACTTATTTAGAAGAAATATAAATCCTGTCCCCTGCAAATAAACTTTCATTTCATTTTGCTGCAAATGAATTCCAGACATGTTACAGTATCCTGCTCAGTTTTCTAGATGCCCCAGACGTGCAACCCCACTACTCGGTCCTTTGTTTGCATTCCAAAATTAACTGATAAATTTGCAGTGTACTACTTAGTGAAATTTATTTGTGTATAATTGGGCATCATTATTAGTTTAATGTAAGGAAGAAAATGAAGACTTCTTTGGGGAAACATGACTATCAAACATTTTAACGTGTATGCTGCTTTCTAGTAATTTGCATGTTCATTGTTGTTCAGTTGTTTTTAAACAGTGTCTTTGGAAATCCACTGTTTAAAACAGATTTCTTTCTTTGATCATTCTGCACACGTTTGTTTTTCAGTAGCGTATGGATGGAGTCCCTGTTTTACGTACCCCTTGTGTTGTCCAAGTTACAGTTTAGCACCAGTGCCTTTCCTGTTGGGATGACGGCCCTCTTGAGCAAAACACTGTTGCTGCAGTTTAAATGCCAACTTGAAAGATAGAGCAGAGGTTTCTGTGAGCTGGTTCCAGATTTAATGTATGAAATACTCATTTTTTTCCTCGTGGGGTCAAAAAGAAAATGAATGAAAGGTTTGAAAGCATTCAGTCTGCAGTGAAATATCCAGGCATTATTCGGCAGATCCACTTCAATTTGAAAGGAGTTCAAACTGATGAGTATCTGTGGTAGAGGGGTGGTCAGAGCATTTCCACGGAGATCCACCACCTAGTTGGAATATAAGTCAGAATTAATTTGATAGCCTTACAATGGAATCCTAACTGCAGTATCAACAACAACATTTATTTTAGCATACAAGCACTCTGCAGTTCCAGGAACAACACGTCTGGTTAGGACTGCAGTGATATTGTAGACTACCTGTGTGTGCATGGGAAGCTGTGGGGCTCACCATAGAAGGGCTGAGGGTAGAGAAGGGTGCGTGTGTGTTTAAGCCGGTTATGGATTGTTTTTTGGCATAGATAAATAGTGAATTTAAGGTTATATTTTGTATATTTACAAGTGTATGTGTTTTCCTATATATGAAAAGTAAATATATATTATACACCAATAATGATTATTTGCTTTAGTTTATAAAATTGTATAATAATCAAATACCAATATAATCATGCTGAATAGTTGATAATTAATATCTTTAACAGTGATTAACACAAAATTAATATCTTTAACAGTGATTAACACAAAACATTAGAACAGTTATAATACTGCTTTACAACCTGTAATTTGTTGAGCTCCCTGAAAGCATCTGGATGAATTTTAGTGATCTGGTTGTTTTGCAAGTTGATGTCCTTCAGCTGTGAACAGTTCTGAAAATCATTCAGATCAATCTGTTGTATGCCATTGGATGACAGATGGACAGTTTGCAGAGACTGCAGCAGGCCTAGTCCTAGGAAGAACAGAACTATTTCACATTTCATCTTGTTTTCCCAACTGCATCAAGGGGCTTTTAAAATTCTTTGCAACAAAATTCCTTCCATTCCTGACTGTTGCAAGGAATGGCTGCAGGCTTTGAGTTATTGTGCCTTTCTTATTCAGCGCTTGTCCCATTCTAGAAGTTGCACAGCACCAGCAGCAGGTAGCATGTTAATACATTCACTGTCTATGCATGTTTTAAACATTCACAGCTCCGCAAAATCAGTAACATTCCTTTGTGCTATCACAATTATTCTGACTGTGATCTCTGTGCTTTCAGCACACTTCTCTGGAGAACTGGAGGTAGGAAAGGAAGAGTGGGGAAAGGGTGGAATATGCTCAGTTTATAACATCCAAGTACGTTAATTGTAAATAAGTGATGGAGATGCAAACGGTGATACAATATCTCTTGTTCATTGCCATCTGCAAGTCCATGGGAGTTTTCCATTTGAACCCATTCACAGGATGTAAACCTGACTGAAAACAAAAATGTGTTGTTTCTTATGCCTGTCTGCCAGTGAATTATCAAGCATGACAGTATATTCCTCAGTATATCCTAGTTATAACGGCATCTGTCTTGTGTAAGCAGCCCTTTTGAATGCTGGTGATTGATACCTCATTTTTCTCAGGTGCTGCACGGGCAGCCCAGCCTGCAAAGCTCCAGCCTACAAGTTCTGATGAGACAGTAGGCACGCAAACGCTCAGCATCACCAGTTTGTAACATCCAATGTCACTCTAAAGTGATTTTTGGTCATACAGCATTGTTGAAAAGCCACTATTTGTCCATAAACATTTTGCCCTTGGTGTCATCTAGTTTGCTGGAAACCTCTTACTGCAGTTTGCTGTGCTGTTCCTTGAGTAACTGATCTTTGGGTTCATTGTGAAAAGCA